CCCCCGGGGGGGTGGTCACGCCACAATCCCTTCTCCTCCATTCTCCTCTCGGGATCTTGGGCACGCACGCACACACACCCGGTGTGAGTTTTTTAAGCCACCGGGTCCGGGACACGAACCGCGGTCGACTACATGGGAGTCTAGCGACATAGCCATTACGCTAACTGCTGGTTCCCTGCAGAGCTTCTTAATGCCCGGGCTCTGGCACTCATGTCACTTACACAGTGCTACATACTGTTGGCATGTGGCATATAATCATAAGGCCAGCCTAGATCACGTGGGAGTGGATGTTGCTGTCACTTGGTAAAGGAAATTGGGAAGATTCTGTGGCCATTTTTTAATATAAATTTTAATGTATTTATTATTTTTATTATTTTAATTTTCTACAGGACATGTGCACATCCCAGAGAGGCAGAGAGAGGGAAAGTGAGAAAGCAAGCTGCCAGGTCCAGGACTCGAACCTCAGTCAGCAATGTGGGAGTCTAGTACCCCAACCACCGGGGCCGTCAAGTGGCATGGTGGTTAAAGGCGCTGGACTCCCACATGGCCAACCACAGTTCAAGTCTCGGACCTGGTGGCTTACTTTCTCACTTCCTCTCTCTCTCTCTGTCTCTCTCTGATCAAACTGGAAAATAACAATGTGGGAGTCCAGTACCCCAACCACCATACCACCTGCTGTCTGTGGCCATTTTTAATCTCACGTAAAGAGAGTCAACAAATTCCATCTGAAAATGTCTAAAAGTAAATCTGGTACAGAGCAAAGTACTTCAAAACATTCGCTGTTTTTGTTATTATTGTCATTTTTAGCCCTTTTCTCCTGAATAAAAAACACTTTGAAACACTTTTCCTGGGTAAGGAAACAGGTGAGGTTTTAGGGGGCTTGTTGTTTTTTAGGTTTTTGTCATAGGGCACGTGTACTCACCAGAGAGGACAGAGAGACACAGAGTGAGAAAGTGAGAAATCAGTCCCCAGGGGGTGTGGCCATGTCACAATCCCATCTTCACTCTCCTGTCAGGATTTTGCACACACACAGGTGCCTGGCATATTTTTCAAGTCGCCAGGGCTGGGACTTGAACTGCAGAAGTGGCCAGTAGGATACAGCACTTTAACGACCACACCACCTGCTGGCCCAGTAAGTGAGCTTTTCTTTAGGTGGAAGTTGATCAAAAGTAAGACAAAAAATAAAAGAGTTCACACAGAATTCCTTGTGCTAGTATTAAACCTAAACAAACGTGTGGCATAAGAATTTGGCGTGTTTTGGAGAAAATGGTTGAAACATGGTCAATTTAGCAGATCTAGACTGAGGAGAAACAAAAAACTTCAAAAGATATAAAATTGTAGAAGTATCCACCCACAAAGCTCTGAAGATTTAAAAAGTGTTATCCTTGGGGACCAGCAGATGGTGTAATGGTTACATCACTGAACTCCCACATGGTCGACCACAGTTCGAGTCCCAGAGCCGACAGCTTAAAACTCCTGCCTTATCTGATTTTTCATCTTCTCCTCTATGTGAGAGGGAGAGAAAGCAGGAGAGGAGAAAGGGAAAGGGAGACAGATTTTTTTTTTTTTTTGAGAGGTTTTCACTATAGGGCACACGTGCTTGACAGACAGCCAGAGAGAGACAGAAAGCAAGAAATCACTCCCCAGGGGGGATGGCCACACCACAATCCCTTCTGCTCCATCCTCCTTTCAGGATCTTGGGCACACACACACACGCACCCGGCGCGAGTTTAAGCCACTGGGTCCGGGACTCGAACTGCGGTCGACTATGTGAGAGTACAGTGACATAGCCATTACACTAACTGCTGGCCCCAAGACAGACGTCTTTGACGACATCTCACAGGCTCATGATCCTCCTGCCCCAGCCTCCCAATTAGCTAGGATTCTAGGCACGTGCCACTGCACCTGTGTGCTGAGGTTGCTGGGGAAGAAACCTGGCCTCCCCTGCAGAGTCCGGCCTTCTAGTGTCGGCTGTGTTAGGTTGTGTTGTGTGCATCCGTGGTTCCCCATTACAGCAAAGAATTGAAGGACAATGGGACCAGCAGTTGGTGTAATGGCTATGTCGCTGGACTTCCATGTAGTTGACCGCAGTTCAAGTCCCGGACCCGGTGGCTTAAACTCACGCCAGGCTCATGTGCATGTGTGCCCAAGATCCCGAGAGGAGAATGGAGGAGAAGGAATTGCGGCGTGGCCATCCCCCCTGGGGGGTGCTTTCTCGCTTTCTGTCTCTCTGTCTCTCTCTGAATTTCCGGTGAGCGCACGCGCCCTAAAGCAAAAACCTCTCAAAAAAAAAAAAAAAAGAATTGAAGGACAAGAAAAAGGCAGAGCACAAGGCCTATTGAGAGAAAAAGACAGAGATTATCTTCCACAGACCAACTGGCCAGTGCCCAGAGAGGCAAGGCAAGCAGGCACCACCTCCTTCTCAGGGTACCCTCTTACTGCTGATTTAGACCCTTCCTTTAGTCAAAATATGTGTCTGGAGGTCTCCTCCAGGTTGCTACTTTTTGTCTTTGTTTTCCCATCTTTATTCCCCATCATTATTTTGGTGAATGTTACAGAGTAAGCAGCTCCTCCAGGTCTCCTTAACCCTTTGTGTTCTGGTATCTTAACCAGCACCAACTAGCTGGACCTCTGGTTTTATTATTAGCATATTAATTATTTTGCTTGTTCTGGGAGGGAGAGAGGCACTCCCTGGGAGGCTCAGCCTCAGGCAGCTCTATCATGAGCATGCAGGCCGGCCCAGGCTGCTCAGGGAGGCCCTGGGACACAAACCCGAGCCCTCTCCCCTGTGAGTGTAGTGGCGTTCATTCTGTGCCACCACTTGGTACCTGGTCCCTGGTCCCTGACTTTTGACTTTTGACTTTTGTCTTTCCTTATAGATTTTTTTCTTTTTTTTTAGGAATTAGAGAATAAAATCTCAGCACAATGTTTTTCACTGGAGATGTCAATCTACCCAAGGTCAGCTGGGATGAAGCCCTTTCTAAATGTTCGGTATGTACCTACACTTTGATGCTATTGTATAGGGGAGCCTTTACATTCAAGCATTTCGAGTCCCAGACCCAGAGGCTTGAAAAACATGCTGGTCACATGTGTGAGTGTGCCCCAAATCCTGAGATGAGAATGGAGGAGAAGGGATTGTATTGTGGCCATCCCCCTGGGGTATGATGTCTCACTTTCCCTCTCTCTGTGAATTTCTCTCTGACAAATGCACACACCCTATGGCAAAAAAAAAAAAAATCTAAAAAATAATAAAAATTAAAACTATTGTATACACAATGACATATTTAGGAGCTACAGGAAATACCAAAATTTCACCTCAGTGACAACATTTTTTGTCACCACAAATATAGCTTTTCCAAAGACACGCGAGCATAAGTGTTAAATATTTTCCTGATAATGGCCGTTTTTTTTTTTTTTTTCACACTTACTCATTGTACATTTTTACAGCATATAGTATGGGTTCTCAAAGCACGAATGCATTGTATGCCACGCGAGTCAAAGCTCTGACTGCACACCGTAACTTTTCATTCTCGCGTCTGCTATTTTGTTTGGTTTTGTTTTTCCGAAGTCCCTCCTTCACAGGTTACCAGCCATCCTGTTTATTCTAAGGTTTGAGGCTCTGCCAGACTATTAGGTTTTTAATGATCTCCCGGCTTCCTACTTTCTCCCCGCAGCTGCCAGAATTATATACATCCGTTGAGAATTTTAACAAGAGGAGAAAGAAATTAAACCTCCTGAAAACGCATGGTATTTTACTCAATGAAGCACAGAAAACACTTACTAAGAACCTGAATGCCATGAATGGAACTGATATGAGAGAAGAAGATCCCCAGCCTGTTTTCATGTGCAGGGTGGTTAAAAAAGAAGAAAAGAAGAAGCCAGAATCCATGGCTGACCTCCTCCACCACAGTTTGCTGACGGGCTCGCTCTCTGCTGTCGAGAGGCTGACCAGGTCCCAGCAGAGACTGGCTCAGTACGGGATCCAGGCTCCCGCTCACACGTTCCCTTACAGCATTCTCACTGATCACACTGACGCTTTGCCACAGGCTGACGTCCACAGGAAGAGTCTGAGCACCAAAATCTTATTCAAGCTAGGCCTTTGCAGTCCCATCTCAAAGTTTACCTTTGAAGATAAAGTTCCTAAATACTTCTTAATTGACCCAGGTAATCTAGATAGATGTGGCCGTATGGGGAGGAAAAATGGAAATTTATATGGATTTCTAGAGCAGAAATAGTCAAATGTTGACCCATGGGAAGCCTGCAGCTCTGAGTCTCATGGCTCATGGTCTTACCGCCTACAGTGACGGTGAGATGCTGACCAGATCATCAAAAATTTTAGGGTTGGCTGGTGCCACAGTCTAGTGGTTAAGGGAGCCGGATCCCACATGGCCAACCGTGGTTCAAATTCTGGCTTGAAAAACAAATTCAGCCTTCCTCTTTGTTGTTGCTGTTCGTTTCAGCTTTACAAAGTACGTAGCCTGAAAGGAGTTAAAGGGAAGGGAAGTGAAAATGGCTACTGAGTGGGGAAATACGCTATTACACCTCAACTTGATCTTCCCTGCCTTATTGGCTCCTTGAAGGGATTGTTAAGGACTAATGACACTCTAAGCTGGGAGGGTCTGAAGGAGTGCGAAAGAGTGAATATCTAGCTAAGCCCTTGCCCTTTAATACTCCGAGTTTACATCAGTATCTTGGAAAAAATGAATCCGTGCACTTCTAATAAGTCTTTCTCCTGGTTTTCTTTTATTAACTTAATTTTATAAAGGTTTTTGTCATAGGATACCTGTACTTGCTACAAAGAGACAGAGAAAGTGAGAGGAGAAAGTGAGAAACACCCCCCAGGCAGGATGGCCGTGGCACAATCCCTTCTCCTCCGTTCTCCTCTCAAGATTTTGGGCACATGTGGCCAGTGTGATTTTCAAATCGCCAGGTCTGGGACTCGGACCATAGTTGGCCATGTGAAATCCAGCACCTCACCCACCGTAACACCTGCTGGCCCTACTCTTTTGGGTTTAATCGCCCATTAGGATCCTTTTCTCTTCTGTGTTGATTGCAGTGCCTTGCAGCTTTCTGGATTTGCACTTTTCGTTAGTGTTAAACATGAAAGGACTGCTCCTGCCATGGCCTTGCAGAGTCCACTAGCGCCCAATCAGACCTACCCAATTTCCTACTTGAGGGACAGTTTAAGTGAGATTAATGTCATCGGTTCTCCTTCAGTTTATAGAGTTTCCAAAATGAGCTCTCTTCCAGAAGTGAGAAAGAGACTCAAGTTTATCCAAGGTTTATTCTGTCTATGAAACATCTTTGAGTAACTGAAAGTTAAATAAAAACACCATGTGATTCTTTGAAAATGTGATTCTTTTCAGAAAAACAATTCTTGGATCTAAGAGACCTGGAGTGGAGATACTTTAAGGGGCTTGCAAAGTGGAGGCGCGTTCCTTCCATTTCATTCATGGACATACAGTATGACAGTGAGAAGAGGTTCGTGGAGAGCCAGGACATGCCTGGTGTTATTTTCCCCCCTCTAGTCTGGAAGTCTTTAACCATTTATCCTCAAATTGATTATCAAAAAGAAGGAACTTACTCTCTTAAATGGAATACGTAGTTTGTTAAAATATCTTAGACATAGATTTTCGCTCTGAGATAATGGACTTTGTACATAAAAAGCAAAGACGTAGAGGTACCCTCAATGCCATCTGAATTGAGTCTAGACAACACGTCAGTTAAGTCTCAACAGTAACCATTGATACAATCTACCCTTACTACGAAGTATAAGATTGAAGATATTCTGCTAATTTAAGGCCTGGTACGGATTTGTGAAAGCCATTTGGACGGGACTGAAGCAAATGCCGACCGAACATTTATGTGAAAAGAAATGATGCATATGAAGGAGACTTCCCAAAGAAGATTAGCTCTTTAAGAGATTTTAAGTACCTAAGGACATCCATCATCATAAAAAAAAATAATTGGTAAATTTAATCAATGGAAGAATTATTCTGGGGATATGGAAGTCAGTCTAAGAACTTTAAAATAATATGTTGAATGCTCAAAGACGTAAGGAATGCTGTACCATTCATGAAACAACAACAGTAAGGTTTGAAAAGGAACAAATTGGAAATCTTGGGAAAATATTGGAAAGCATAATGATGATGGCCCTTAATAAGTTACCCTAATGCTACACCGAATACATCTGAAGAGAGGGGACGAATGGTTCGACGACAGCACTGGAAACCTGCTAGGTCAGAGCACAGTAAGATAAAGGAGGAAGCTCCTTTCTCCATTCTCCTCTCAGGATCTTGGGCACGCACGCACACGCGCCTGGCATGAGTTTTAAGCCACCGGATCCGGGACGCAAACTGCAGTCAACTATGTGGGGGTCCAGCTAGTTGGAGGTAATGATGAGCAGTTAAATTAGTAGTAATAGATGTGTCTGATCGTATAGATATTAAAAGGTATTTCTGGATTTCCTATTCCAATATTTTATTTAGAAAATTTTCCCAATATTGTATGTGGAATTTTCCCAATATTTATGTAAAGCAAACTACTCTGCAGACTCGTTTTTTGCACTATTTTTTAAAATCAGATTTTGGTCATTACAGTCAGTCTGGCTTCAGTACAATGGGGATCTTCAGCA